AGTTCGAGGCCAGCCTGGGCTACCAAGTGAGTTCTAGTAAAGGCGCAAAGCTACACAGAGAAACCCTGTCTCGAAAAAAAACAAAACAAACAAACAAAAAAAAAAAAAAGAAATAGCACAAAATAGACAAACTATTCAGTGTGTAAAAAATACTTACGCTTTGTAAGGACTTGTCCAAATCGACTTTAAGTCATCAAAAACTTAAGAAAAGCCAGGAATGGTAGCATACCCCTTTACTCTCAGCAAATCTTGGTGAGTTTGAGGCCAGCCAAAGGTATAGACAGAGACCCCATCTCAAAACAAAGATTAAGTAGATATAGGCCCGGAAGAATTATGTAAGAGGGAGGAGGGACTGGAGAAATGGCTCAGCAGTTAAGAGCAATGGCTGCTCTCCTAGAGGACCTGGGTTCGAATTCTAGTACCCACATGTTGGCCAAGAATTAGCTGTAACTCCAGTCCACGGGATCAGACACCCTTTGTGGCCTCCACAGACACTGCACAGACACACATGCTGGCAAATCTCTCTCTCTCTCTCTCTCTCTCTCTCTCTCTCTCTCTCTCTCTCTCTCAAGAACACACACACACACACACACACACACACACACACACACACACACAATGAAAATAAGATCTAAAAAGAAAGAGTGACAAAAGGCAACGGGGAATGGTGGCACACCTACAATCCGAACATTCCGGAAGCTACGGCAGGAGATTCATCCCCTCTAGTCTGAACCACTCAAAGAACAAAGAGAGTAGAGTCTCTAAAAGCAAGACTCTGTCTCAAAAACAATAAAGAGGTAAGAGAAAAGCCAGTGAGCACATGGCCAAATATACAATTACTAAAGAAATCCAAAATGCAACAAGACGTTTTCCTACTAGAAAAAAATGGAAAATATAAAACACTGATAAAGATGGCTAGACTTTATGATTATAACTACCAACAAGAAGGAATGTTGTTCCTAGCTGACTAAAAAGCTCCCCCAGCCCTCCAGTGAACATCAGCATCAGTGTGTGAGATGATTAGTGTATTTGACAGTGACAAGACAAAGAAATCAAAAAGCACCACGACATTCACTCTGAATCTAATCTCGCCTCTAGGGTATGTATTTCCAAGCCAGGTCTAAACTGGGCATAGTGGCGCACGCCTTTTAAACTCAGCACTCAGGAGGCAGAAGCAGGCAGATCTCTGTGAATTCCAGGCCAACTAAAGATATAGAGAGACCTTGTCTTTGGGGCGGGGAGGGAAGACCAATAAACCAAGTGAGGTCTAGGACCTTTTGTTATGCAGCCCACGTTTAAAAACTCATGTGGGCTGGAGAGATGGCTCGGAGGTTAAGAGGAAGAGCACCCACATGGGGTGGCTCACAACCACCTCTAAGTCCAGTTCAAAGGGCCTCTGCTTCCTATGGCACCGCACTCATGTGCACATATCCACACAGACACAAACATACACGATTATAAATAATACAAATATTAAATAAATCACCCTCATAACCCAGTGTGGTGACCTGGCACGTGTGATCCCAACACTGGTGTGGGAGGCTGAGGCAGAATCACTCAGCTCCAGACCAGACCAGGCTGTATAGGGTTCCAGGCCAGCCTGAGCCACAGATGAGAGCCAAAGAAAAAGAAAACATCTCCAGTACCTGAGACATACATCACAGGACTGAAATGGCCAGAAATTACTTTAAAATAGTTCAGAAAAGAGGCTAAGATCGGAATAACACAAAAATGATAGATTTTGGCAACTGAATCAAAAATATGGAAAAATATTTTCTACTTTTTTTTTTAAAAGACACGGTCTCATGTAGCCCAAGCTGGACCCAAATTCACTGTGTTTAAATTCACTTGAACCCAGGTCCAAGTGGGCATTGAACTTCTAATGTTCTTGCCTCAGCCTCCCCAGTACTGGGATTACAGGCATGGGCTGCCTACCATATCTGGCTAATTCTATTCTGATATGTTTGAAATTTTTCATAATTAAAAAAGTAAACTCTAAGCTTAAAAAAAAAAAAAAAAAAAAAAGGCAGTTAGCAACGTATCCCTTCAAAGAGCTTCCCACAGCCACTGCAGCCCACAGAGCTAGTTCTCTTATTTTTAAATTAGCCGGCCTACTTGCTCTCTTCCTTCCTTTCTGACCACAAATGCAAAGAATCTGAATTAAAACTATCTTTAAGTATATCACAAAGGAGAATTACTTTTCCATTAAAGAGGATTTCCAAAAGAATGGACCCTACACACTACAATAAGTCCTGCTATATCCATTTCCCCAGGTCCCATTCATTCACACTTTACTCTGGCTCCATCTTTTAATTAGGTTAGAAAAAAAAGGACCTCTTTCTTTGGGTACATTCCAATCAAAGATATAAAGATTAGCTGTGTGGTGATGTCTTTAATCCCAGCACTGGGAGGCACAGTAAAAACATAAAGCCTATATTTTTATAATTATTATTTTATGAACAGATTCGAGTTGTATAAAGGGGAAGAAAAGGCTCAATGCTTTAAAAATAGCCCATGGAAGGGACCACGTAACTAGCTCTTACTTCCACAATTGAGCATGGCAACTTTTAAGCACCCCCCCCCAAAAAAAACATGTTTCTTAGTGGAAGGGGCAAGGTGAATGAAACCTGAATAAAAGGTCCGGGTAAAGCCTCCAACTGTATAGCTCTACAGTCACTGGATCCACCAGTGACCAAGTAAATAACAGCTAAACAAAGGTATGCAAAAAAAAAGGGGGGGGCATTAGAACTCCCAGTATCACATTAACAAAGCATTATATGAAGGGGTAGGTTATATCAGTTTCAACTTTAATGGAGTTAAGGGTTCAGAATTGGTTATGCACGATCAAATGATTTATAATAAAATCTGATTAGAGGATTTATTTGACAATGAGACAAAAAGCCAGGCATACTTGTGATTACCAATTTGCATTAATATTAATGACTGGTAATTAGTCATCTTATTTGAAAGCTATACAGACTTTGAAAACAACCAAGGTCGTAAAAGGATTAGTTGTTGAAATAAAGGCCCTTCCATTCCCAATGAGAGGGGAACTGGGGAACAACCTCAGCTTCTCTCCATGGGGAATCTGCAGGAGTGCCAGGCAGAAAGGTGGCTCTGTGACAGCCTACAGGACCATCTGCGACTGCTAGTCCTCCTTGGCACATTAAGGATGCTAATTCCATGTGACCCACAACAGCCCCTTTTACAGATGATTTCCAGACAGAGGCTGAAGCTTGAGAGAAACCCCAAGGCAGTGGCTGACCACTCTAGGACATCTTCCATCTGTTTCCTAAAAGGCCCTTAACCCTTATTCGGCAGCTCGCGTAAGCTCATTCAAGTTTTCCCAAAGTGACAAAAGCCAGGGCCCTGAGTTTACACCTTGAAATTCTGCCTGAGCTGTGCAGCACTCCAGAGTTCTAGGACTCTGATGGAAATAAATTATTCCGTCCTTTCCCAGTTTGTTTCGAGATGAAAAACAGGAAGAACAACAACAACAACAACACACACACACACACACACACACACACACACACACACACACACACACAGAAAGACAAAAACAAGAAAAAGAACAAGAGAGAAAGAAAGGAAAAGGGGAACCCAGTTGAGGCTAATATTATAAGTAGCTTAAATGGCTTAATTTCCATGAAAATTGAATTCACCCCACTCACAACAACAGGAAGGCAGATGAGGCTGGTGGATTGGTTGCGGTTGCTCAGTATAAAACATGAGCACAGCACAGTGACCCCACACGGGAGCTGGCTCCTGAGGGTCACCCGTCTCTGACCGAAAGGGAGCAGAAAGGACTGTCTCTTGAGTTGTTTCAAAGGTACCAATTTTCAATGCATAGCATTATATATAGCAAGAGAATACTTGACATTATATAAGCAATCAAAAACAAAACAAAACAGAAAAACAGAAAGCACCCAGCCTCACAAAGGTTACTAGTAGGGGATCTCTAATTGTTTTGTGATATTTTCTCAGTTAGTTGTTACTTACTACTTACTACCTGGAATCTTCTGGCTGACTAATGAAGTCACAGCTGGGAAGTCACAAGCACCTCCTTCCTAAGGTCTGTCCAGTTAAA